CGCTGCCGCATGACGCGCGACGCGTGTTACCGAACCGATCGCGAGCATGCAGGAAAGATAGGTGTTAGACTAAAATTCGAGGAAAATTAGAGCTAAACACAACTCAAAGAGCTAAGCATGCAAAGATAGCTAAAAAATATAGCTAATTACGGGAAAGGTATGTTAGTATTAGTGATTTAAGAAGAGGAAGGGAATTAGTAGTTGATATTATGTGGTAGAGGGAATTGAAGTCCGAGCAAAGTACCCTAAATGGTTCGTGCAAGGAATAATTCGATCTACAAAGCGGAAGGAAAAGAGGAATGCAGTTTCTAGTAGATCTAATAGGAATCGTAAAGTTTATGCGGCTCAACAAGTCAGGGCTATCTACATCACCCTTGATCAGGTTGTGCATAAAAATCACACCAAGCATTTTTCTACGACTAACTAAGGTTGGAAGGTTTATTAAAAGCAATCTACGAGGATAAGATGGCAGTCTCACACCTGCATCCCAGTTAAGGCCACGCAGAGCAAAAAGTAAAAAGTTTTTCTGGACTGATTCTATACGGTCCTGGTGTACTTTGTACTGGGGGCACCATACACAAGAGCCGTATTCTAAAATCGGACGAACAAGCGAGATATAGAGAGTCTTCGTTATATAGGGGTCGTCAAATTCCTTTGACCACCTCTTTATAAACCCAAGCACACCCATGGCCTTATTTACCATGGTAGAAATGTGTTCAGAAAACTTCAACTTTGGGTCTAATTTAACACCAAGATCATCAACCAAGGTAATTCTCTCAAGAGAACCACCGCAGAGGCTATAAGGAGCCAATAGGGGGCTGGAGCGATGAAATGTCATTACTTTGCATTTCGAGGCATTTAGGTGTAACATATTTGCACAACACCATGATTGAAAGTTATTGAGATCGGATTGCAAGCGAGAGTGAAATGAAATGTCCTTATACTGGACACAAAGTTTAACATCATCCGCATACATGAGTACTCGAGAGTTTGTTAATACTGAAGGCAGATCATTAATAAAGAGTGTGAATAGTAGGGGGCCTAGATGGCTGCCCTGTGGTACTCCAGAAGTAACCTTAACAGGTGAAGAGAAGGAGTTTTTGAAGAGGACTCTTTGAGACCTAGAACAAAGGTAGCTAGAAATCCATCTCAAAAGATTAGGCGGAAACCCTAAAAGGTCAATTTTTTGTGCTAAAAGGGAATGGTTTACAGAATCAAATGCTTTACTAAAATCAGTGTAAATGACATCCGTCTGCAAGTTACCTTGAAAGCCTTTAATGATAAAAGAGGTAAACTCTAATAAATTTGTGGTTGTTGATCGTCGCCTTATAAATCCGTGCTGGGACGGAGATATAAGTGATTTGCAGAGATGTTGCAAGTGTGGAGTTAAAATTTTTTCAAACATGTTAGGAATAGCGGATAACTTAGATATACCTCTATAATTATTTGCATCAGACTTGCTACCTTTCTTATGGAGCGGAATAATAAAAGATTCCTTCCAGATGGGGGGGAAGCATGAAGAGTTAATGGATAGGGTGAATAGTTTAAGCAAGGGTCCACACAGAGCGTCGGAACAGTACCTGAGTACACAGCCGGGAACTCCGTCGGGACCTGGTGAAAACACCGGCTTAACTAGTCGAAGATCATGAAGCAGTGAGCTTTCATTTAACAAGGGACTGAAGATGCCATTCGACCTTGGTAAACTGTATGGATACGGCTGACCAGAGTAGCTTTCATGAGAATAGGTTGTTTGGAAAAATTTGGCAAAAAGATCGGCAATTGCCTGATCATTGTTTGCTGACATATTGAGAAAAGATAACGAGGATGGATGTACGGACGTTCTACGCTTACTATTTACGAAGCTGTAAAACTGTTTAGGGTCCAGTGAAAATCGTATCCTGCATCGAGATAGGTAGTTCTTATAGCATTGAGCGTTAAGAACGGAGAAATTTGACCGAGCTATTACATAGTGAGAAAGAGAAGAGGGAGAACCAACTTCTCGAAATTTTTTATAAAGTCTTGATTTTAAATTTTTTAGACTGGATAACTCCTTGGTAAACCAAGGAGGCTTTCCAGATATAACCGGACAAGAAAGTGGGACACAAGAATCAAAAAATGTGTCAAGTACATTGTAAAAAATGTGTGTGCCTTTCATAACGTCAGTGCACAAGTACAGAGCGGACCAATCAAAATCCCTAATAAGGTTATTAAGCTTCGTAAACTCGGCTTTACGAAAGCAGCGGACACGTTCAGATAGCCTACTCATTCGATCCAATACAGTAGGGCCAATATCGACTGACACTTCGAATGTAGGATGGTAGGAGTCTTCAGGTATACTGAGCGGAAGGGCTCGGGTTAACAACGCTATGGTCGGATCCGAGACAAAGCACAGATCAAGCAATCGACCCAAGGAATTTTTCACATGGTTGACTTGAGACAGGGATAGGTCTAGCAAGCCGTCGATAAAGTCATGTCGTGACATGGGCACAAGGTTATTAGACTCGTTTACCGAAGACCAAACAGCACCTGGCAAATTAAAATCACCAAGAACTATCATATGGTCTTTATCTGATAGCGAGGAAGAAACAGTTTTTAAAGCGGTCAGGGGATGCTCGTATATTAAGATATCCGAGGAAGGTGGAATATACGAGAATGTTTTGTAGAATGTTTGTAGTTATGCTGTTTTCGGAGTTACGCTCCTTTTAGAGTCAATGGATTCTATATTTAAGTTTATGTAGTAGGGGTCGAGACACGGTCGAACACACCCTCCCCCCAAGTTACCGAAAGAGCACGGAACCGTTGAATCCCGACCGGCAGAGCCTCGATAGCCGAAGCCCCTACCAGCTTTTGCTGGGGCAACTGTACTAGTAATGTTGCATAAATTTGGCTAATAGTACGAGTATGTTTAAGCCTAGAAGCTGATCTTTAATTGTACTCCTTCAGCAGCTCGTTATTCGAAATGGCTTTGACAGCTAAAGGGTTCCTTTATTTTAAATTATAACAAATGTAAAACAAAATATCTGGGGGAACGATTGAGGAAGCTAAGCCTTATGGGCCTTGTGCTTCTCCTGCCTCCTGCTTACAAGTGGCTGTAAAACGCTGCTTGGGTTTTTGTTTGTCTCCATCTCCTTGTTTGGCAGCGTAGTGCTCTCGGTAGTACTTGAATGTTTCAAATCGAACTATTTTTAGCTCATCCTTGGTTAGAAAAGAATCCGTACCGTCATTGGAGCTGATCTCGCTCCGGATGACCACGATGGTCAGCAGCACGAAGATCACGTCCAGCGCAGCCAGCACTATGCTGGCTGTCCGATCGGTGCAGTACTCGTTCCAGCGCCAGTTTCCGGTGGCCGGGATCCATAACAGGTTGGCGAATGGAACTATCGGGAGCAGGAAGACCCAAAGAATTGCGCGCCCCACGGCCTCACCCGAAGCGCTTCGCATGGCGGCACTGGCCACAGCGATGCCTGAGAGGGCATATATGATTGTGCAAGATATCTTGAAGATGGCTTCGTAGGAGCTGACCGTGGTGTAGTGGTTCAAGTCCATTGGCAAATAGGGACAAAATTCTGCTGTGGCGACGGCAGCAGCCAGCGAGAGGACGAATCCAACGAGCTTCATGCCCATCACGCGGCCGCAGGTGGCGAGGACAATGGACCAAAAGAGTGGCCACAGCAGCAGGCAGCTGGACAGCAGCAGCGCAGCCTTCTCCCACAGGCAGGCACAGGAGACCAGAGCGCTGGTCAGCAGCACCAGTCCCATATCGATAATTGCTAGCTTGTGACGCGATAGACGCATCTGACGCGTCACCTGTGCCATGAGGAACTGCTTCTGGCTGTGGTTCAGCTTCACTCTGCCCTGAGACTGTTTGGAGGAATTACTCTTCGTGGATTCTGTGTTCTTCCTTGCCTTTGTGGTCGTCTTGATCTTGTTAGTCGCCGTGATCATCAGTTGATTGTCCCTCTCGTCGATGGAATCCAGCAGTGCCTCAACATCCTTTTCCTTCGACTTCAACACCTTCTCGACCCGCACTTCAGTCACCTGCGAGCCTCGCTTGTCAGAGAGTGCCGCTGGGAGCACAGTCTGGAAGGGCTGCTCCTCGACGTTCGGTTCCATCTTGTTCATGTGCTCGGGATAGTAGGAAAGAATCTAAATAAGTCTAGTGCTAGGCTCTAGGCGTCAGGGGTTCCTTGGATCGAATGAAATGTGGGAGTTTTCCAGCCGCCAGACATTTAAAACAATTCCGACCAAACGATGCCCGGAAGCAAGTGCCACGACCACACTCGATTCAACTTGCTAATTGCATTTATGCATTATTCAAAATAGTTAGCAGTGGCAGTGGATGGAGCAGCAGCAGCCAAAAGCACAATTTGAAACTTTTGCCAACGATATCAACTATGTATTTAAAACAGAAATTAGACACGGCACCAACTAGCAGCAGGAGCGGGCGGCAGTATGAGCCAAACAATGCTGACAAGGCGAGCCCAAAGGGCGGCGAAAAAATCGCAATCACGCAGAGAAGGAATTGTTTTCGACCCCATAAAGTATATATATTCTTGATTTGCATATTTATGCTGTTGCTATCGGCTATTGAGCCGAGTCGATATATGATCTGTCTCTCAGCCATGGACCAGCGCGCTGCAGCGTAGCGAGTTTCTGAAGCCATTTCTTGTTGCTCCTTTCACAGACTAATTCATTTTAAGCAACGCATACAGAACCACACTCGATCCAGTTCACACAGGGATGATACCAGAATCAAACACACACACACTGGTCACATAGATTTTCACTTAAACTCATTATTCTCCAACATATACATATGTAGGTTCAAGCCATATCAGTGGATGTTAAGGACAAGCTTCAAAGCGGGATGTATAGTTTAATTCAGAAGAGGGGCAGAAGCAAAGTTTGGGAATTTTTCTCAAAAATTAAAAACAAAAAAAAGAGAGGAAGTCGATGAGCTTCTAGCCTGTAAGCTGTGCTTTGCTACCTTTAAATTTGCGGGAAGCACATCTAGCCTTGTAAATCATAAATGTTACATTATGAACTCCAGTAAATTACGCAACGCTGCCCAATTTGATGTCAATCCCGAAACGAAACAGGAGGGTGTTGCTGTAATAACCGAATGGGTTGTTAAGAACTGTTGTTCATTCAAAATTATTGACAATTCCGAACTCAAAAAGTTTGCATCCTTTCTGATTAAAGTTGGAGCAACCTATGGTGCTAATGTAGACTTTGCCAAGCTATTACCCCATCCAACAACAATATCACGATATATTTCAATGCGAGAAAGCTCCTGCACAGGTTTGTTATCATCCAATCTACAAATTGAAGAAGTTTATTTTAATTGTATTTATAATATCTACTAGGTTTTCATATCCGTGAACAAATTCGAGAGATATTGAAAGACTTTGGATGCGATCTTGAACTGGACAATCCCATAATTGTAACAGATCGGGGTTCGAACATGATCAAAGCCTTTGGACAAGATGGAAAAAATGCATTGCATCAACCACCTGCTTAACAACTCAGTTGAAAAGGCCATCAATGCTGTTTCTGAGATGGGGGAACTCGTTACTGTTTACAAGCTTGTAAAATATTTTAAGAAGTCTGGATCAAACTCTTTCTTAGGGCTGTTTTTGCCCAACCCGCTGGAATACAGTTTTTTATTTGTTTAAATCCATCGAAATTAATTGGATTGACATTCAAAATATTTTAATGGAGAAAAATCAGATAATTAGGATGGAAGGTATAAATTTAAATCAGTTAAGTCATGTTGTCCGACTGTTAGAAGTCTTCGAAAACGTTTAAAAAAAAACTTGTAGCAAGCAAACGTCCAACCATACACTTTATAGTTCCGAACATAAACAAATTAAAGAAAACTTGTCTGTCCGATAGCAACGATTATAACATAATTAAATCATTTAAATCCGTACTTAAAACACAAATTTTATCAACAGTACATCCAAATTTAACAAAATACCACAACATATCTCTTTTTCTTCTCCCACCTACGAACAAACTAATACTATTTTCACCAACCGAAAAAACAAAAGTCATTAATGACTGTAAACAGTTTATGACCTCTGTTTTGATAGACACTGTGTTAGAAGCGTCTGAAAAGCCTGCGACAGAAGATGCATTTTCTGAATACATTGAAGTACGCCAAGTAGACAGCTACAAATACCAAGCAGAACAGGAAATAATAGGATAAAGCTAGTGGCGTAGCTACGTACGTGCAAGACGGTGCGGCGCACCGGGGCCCTTGAGCTAAAGGGGCCCCCAAGCTCATGGGCCCAGACTCTGACCAAAAAATCTCTCACTCCTCACTTCTGTTTGAAATGCAAGCATGAATTCGACTTGTACAATTAAGCGTCGTTTAAAGTATTCTTCATAAAATTCTATGGAGAAACGGCTGGAGTAACGTTCCAAACGGTAAGTATTATTTTCGGAGGGTTTATCAACCAATTTCAGATGAGCCTTTTCTTCATTAATTAATATGCACCTATAAACAACAAAAAATAAATTTAAAAAAACGAGAAGGAACGTGTGAGTCGCTTCTTTGGACGCGACATTACTTTTATACCAGCATTCAGTCGGTATATTAATTTTTGAGCTTATGATGATGATGTTCCCCAACAGCATGGGTCCAATAGGATGGGTTTCAGCAATATGATGGGCTTCTGCTTTTAATAATAAAGACGACTGCTCTCCTTTTCGTGCAGAGAATTACTGAAGTTTTTATTTCATCTTTTCCCTCCTTAAAGGCTGAAAGCTTAGTATATAATGTACATAAAGTGTACATTGCGAAAAGTAAGGCAAGATAAAGATTGTAATTTTGTTAAATGTACAATAAAGTTTTTTGAACACATACATTTTCAAATAAATAATTCGATTTACCTCATGACCTAATGCCAAAATTGTTAATCAATAAAGCCCACACAAAACCCTCGTAATGATTAAGTATCTGACTTTAGGTTGGGCCCTAATTTTTTTTTTGCACCGGTGCCCTTTTCTATCAGCTACGCCACTGGATACAGCAACATTAACGTAATATACACACCCGACTTTGACTGTTTAGCGTGGTGGAATTTTCACAAAGATGAAAACATCAAACCCCTGTTGCATAAAACAAGCTTGAAAAACAAGCGAGTAGTGCGGCTTCTTTTTTCAGATGCCAGATCACCGAAAAGCGTTGCCTATTATCTACCAATCCAGAAAATATAAACAAAATTATGTTTCTTGATGCCAACTTAGTTTAAATAAAAACTGTACAAAAACTATATTGCTCTTCCTTATTTTCTTTATTATCCTTGATTCTTTTGCTTCCCTTACGTACACAAATAAGTATACTCAAAAGCAGCAAAAAAAAAAATAGAATGCATTTGAATGAATTCGGAAACTGCCCTCACTCAACTCATTCAATTCGTGCCTTTTCGTTTCAATGTTGTGTGTATGAGTTTTACGTCAGCGCACTCACTCACTCAAACTCTGTTGACATTGCATTCGAATTCACTCACGCACTCACTTCGCTCCGGATGACCACGATGGTCAGCAGCACGAAGATCACGTCCAGCGCAGCCAGAATTATTATGCTGGCTGTCCGATCGGTGCAGTACTCGTTCCAGCGCCAGTTTCCGGTGGCCGGGATCCATAACAGGTTGGCGAACGGAACTATCGGGAGCAGGAAGACCCAAAGAATTGCGCGCCCCACGGCCTCACCCGAAGCGCTTCGCATGGCGGCACTGGCCACAGCGATGCCTGAGAGGGCATATATGATTGTGCAAGATATCTTGAAGATGGCTTCGTAGGAGCTGACCATGGTGTAGTGGTTCAAGTCCATTGGCAAATAGGGACAAAATTCTGCTGTGGCGACGGCAGCAGCCAGCGAGAGGACGAATCCAACCAGCTTTATGCCCATCACGCGGCCGCTGGTGGCGAGGACAATGGACCAAAAGAGTGGCCACAGCAGCAGGCAGCTGGACAGCAGCAGCGCAGCCTTCTCCCACAGGCAGGCACAGGAGACCAGAGCGCTGGTCAGCAGCACCAGTCCCATATCGATAATCGCTAGCTTGTGACGCGATAGACGCATCTGACGCGTCACCTGTGCCATGAGGAACTGCTTCTGGCTGTGGTTCAGCTTCACTCTGCCCTGAGACTGTTTGGAGGAATTACTCTTCGTGGATTTTGTGGTCTTGTGGTCCTTTGTGGTCGTCTTGATCTTGTTGGTCGCCGTGATCATCAGTTGATTGTCCCTCTCGTCGATGGAAGCCAGCAGTGCCTCAACATCCTTTTCCTTCGACTTCAACACCTTCTCGACCCGCACTTCAGTCACCTGCGAGCCTCGCTTGTCAGAGAGTGCCGCTGGGAGCACAGCCTGGAAGGGCTGCTCCTCGACGTTCGGTTCCATCTTGTTCATGTGCTCGGGATAGTAGGAAAGAATCTAAATAAGTCTAGTGCTAGGCTCTAGGCGTCAGGGGTTCCTTGGATCGAATGAAATGTGGGAGTTCTCCAGCCGCCAGACATTTAAAACAATTCCGACCAAACGATGCTCGGAAGCAAGTGCCATCGATGGGATTTTGGATACTTGATGGCCATCCGTCCAGCAGGGTCGCCCCAAGCAGAGGCAATCCCCCAAAGTGTTATAAATGGTAGCTTGCAATCGATGACTCGGTGAACATAAATCACTATAAGAGTAAGGGTAGTAGCATTGGGCTGGCTGGCTGGCTGACTGGCGTCCGGCTGGCGCCATATGTGGCTATCGCGTGAGACCCAAAAGTGTGACCGGGTTCACCGAAACACCGTAAAGGACACGACCACACTCGATTCAACTTGCAAATTGCATTTATGCAGTATTCAAAATAGTAAGCAGTGGCAGTGGCAGTGGCAGTGGATGGAGCAGCAGCAGCCAAAAGCACAATTTGAAACTTTTGCCAACGATATCAACTATGTATGTAGATAGTTTGTTTGCTTAATGGCAATTTATTTATAAGTATGGATGTTGAACTTATTATATATATTTCTTAGCTCCAAGTACAATTTGTGGTACAGTTATTTTCTTAACTTATGTGTGTGATTTTCGTACGATGCGTGGCTGAATTACGACTGACTGTCTCTGACTCTCGACTTCGACTGATCTCGCTTCTTTGCTCTCGGCTCTCTCAGAGCCGAAGGCTGCCTATACAGACGACGCGACGAAACTACGGCCGCTTCGTGTCTCTCTCGGTCCTCCATAACCTACATGTATTTAAAACAGAAATTAGACACGGCACTGACCAGTAGCAGGAGCAGCAGCAGCCGCAACCAGTATGCAGAAGCAGCATCAAGAGCGGGCGGCAGTATGAGCCAAACAATGCTGACAATGCGCGCCCAAAGGGCGGCGAAAAAATCACAAAAATTTTACAATTTCAAGCGGGGCTAAAAAACGTGCAACGCGCGTTAAAGAGAAACACGTCACTCGAGTGAGCGGAGTGTTTTTCGGAACAAAACTACAAACAGAAGCAAACAGGCGACTGTGTGCGTGCCGGCCAATGTTCTAAAGCATTAATAGACCAACCTTTATCAGCTGTTGGTATAGCCTTTCCGAGTCCTCTGTAGTGAGTTTTATTTTCCACCAAATTATTATACCCGTACTCAAAAAAGAGTTAAGGGGTATATTAGATTTGTGGTTAAAGTGGATGTGTGTAACGCAGAGAAGGAATCGTTTTCGACCCCATAAAGTATATATATTCTTGATTAGCATATTGATGCTGTTGCTATCGGCTATTGAGCCGAGTCGATATATGATCTGTCTCTCAGCCATGGACCAGCGCGCTGCAGCGTAGCGAGTTTCTGAAGCCATTTCTTGTTGCTCCTTTCACAGACTAATTCATTTTAAGCAACGCATACAGAACCACACTCGATCCAGTTCACACAGGGATGATACCAGAATCAAACACACACACATAGATCTTCACATAGATTTTCACTTAAACTCATTATTCTCCAACATATACATATGTAGGTTCAAGCCATATCAGTGGATGTTAAGGACAAGCTTCAAAGCGGGATGTATAGTTTAATTCAGAAGAGGGGCAGAAGCTAAGTTTGGGAATTTTTCTCAAAAATTAAAAACGAAAATAGAGAGGAAGACGATGAGCTTCTAGCCTGTAAGCTGTGCTTTGCTACCTTTAAATTTGCGGGAAGCACATCTAGCCTTGTAAATCATAAATGTTACATTATGAACTCCAGTAAATTACGCAACGCTGCCCAATTTGATGTCAATCCCGAAACGAAACAGGAGGGTGTTGCTGTAATAACCGAATGGGTTGTTAAGAACTGTTGTTCATTCAAAATTATTGACAATTCCGAACTCAAAAAGTTTGCATCCTTTCTGATTAAAGTTGGAGCCACCTATGGTGCTAATGTAGACGTTGACAAGCTATTACCCCATCCAACAATAATATCACGATATATTTCAATACGAGAAAGCTCCTGCACAGGTTTGTTATCATCCAATCTACAAATTGAAGAAGTTTATTTTAATTGTATTTATAATATCTACTAGGTTTTCATATCCGTGGAAAAATTCGAGAGATATTGAAAGACTTTGGATGCGATCTTGAACTGGACAATCCCATAATTGTAACAGATCGGGGTTCGAACATGATCAAAGCCTTTGGACAAGATGGAAAAAATTCATTGCATCAACCACCTGCTTAACAACTCAGTTGAAAAGGCCATCAATGCTGTTTCTGAGATGGGGGAACTCTTTACTGTTTACAAGCTTGTAAAATATTTTAAGAAGTCTGGATCAAACTCTTTCTTAGGGCTGGTTTTGCCCAACCGGCTGGAATACAGTTTTTTATTTGTTTAAATCCATCGAAATTAATTGGATTGACATTCAAAATATTTTAAT